AAATACTAAAACAGACTAAAACTGATAATTTAAATACTAAAGATGTAATTTACCTTAGAAAATTTATACTAATATTTTTTATTGAATAAAATATTCTACACTTCTGTTCATTTTTAATATAACTTTCTGAAAGTTCAGAGTCTGATATAAAATTTTATTTCCATTAAGAATATTCAACCACTTTTCTAAATGGTTTTTTTGGTATATAATTTAAATTTATCTATGGGTTCCTCTGATTAATTCATGTGCTTTAACTCTCTTTAAATTGACAAATAATTTTAATAAACTTTCCTTTCCATAATTAGACTTGTCAATGTAAAAGATTACATGATCTAATTAAAAAAAATTATGTTTCAGATTTAAATTAAGTTCGACTTCATCCATTGATCAACTTTTTTCTATCATTCAAATCATAATAAAGTATTTAAGATTTTATTATTAGATTAGAATTTTTAATTCTTTTAATTTTAAATCAAATCGAATTAAATTAAAAAATCTATCTATCAAAGAGTTGATATTTAATCACGTTTATTAGTTAAAAGGTATAAATTAACAAAACATTATATCTAGGGATGACATGGGTCGGGTTAGATCAAATTTCAATCAACCCGGCCTGCCTGAAAAATAGATCTCCTCAACTTGAACCCGACCCGACCCCACTCGAGTTTAGAGTGACTTCACACGACCCAAAATTCGATCCTAGTTTTTAAAATAAAACTTGAACCCGACCCGATTCGAAATAAATATATTTGTAAAAAATACTAATTTTATTCAACAAAATAATGATCTAATTGAAAAAAATAATGTAAAGAGAGAAACTCTTGTAATTATCTCTAAATATATTAGATAAAATTATATTATGTTTGGGTCGGATTGGACGAATATTTTTCATCCTAATCTCGAACCCAACCTGACCTGAACTTCTATTCTGAAAAATCCGATCCAAACTCGAATTTTTTAAAAAAAATTCTAACACAACAGAATCGAAACCCGTCGGTCCGGTGTCCATCCCTAATTGTATATATCAAATTAAAAAGTTGATGTCCAACTGAATGAATGAATGAATTAATGGCATCAACTTAGCTAGTTCTAGTCTTCTCTACAAGTTCTTTGAATGCCCGTTGTTGAGAATAAATGCTTCATTTTTAGGTACAAAAGGAGAATTATTAGAGAATTGTTTTCGACCAAAGGTTCTCCACTACTTTCCTCTAGCATCTCATTACTAGCTAATTTAAATCTAAAATAATTGGAGCATTTTAATTTGATAATAACTATGGTACTTAAAGATTAGGGTTAAGGTATGTTTTACCTTATGAATTTGGTCTCAAGTACCTAGTTGACACCTCTGTTTTGAAAACCGGACCGGACCGGTCGGTTCAACCGGGAACCGTTGTTTAGTCTGGTTCAATCTAAATCGGTTGAACCGCTATTAGTGAACCGGCCAGAACCGCTGAACCGTTCGAACCGGACCGGCTGAAAACTGGGATTTTTGTTTTTTTTAAATTAAACCAAACAACGTCGTTTGTTAAACGAGCCAAGTCGAACTCGAGTATTGCTGAGCTCGACTCGAACTTGAAAACTTTAAAAGTAAGCTCAACTCAACTCAAACTCACAAGCTAAAAATTATCAAGTTCAACTCAAACTCGAAATATAATATTGAAACTTGAACTCAAAAAGGCTTGAACTCAAAAAAAATTTAGAAGCTCGATTGAAGCCTAAAATTCGAGCTTGATTGAAGTGAAAGAATAGTTCACTCAATGCTCACCAAAAGGCTCCATGATTTTGAATGCCAAATTACATCTATTATTTATAGAAGTTAGTTGTGATGCTCTTCTATGTTTCTTAGAAATGTGAGATTGTTTTGTTCTCATATTTTTACTCTTTAGACTTTTGGGATGCTCTTCTATGTTTCTTAGTCATGTGAGATTTTTTTTTTAAAAAATTAAACCAAACAATATCATTTTGTTATGATTTTTTTAACCCCAAATTTATTTTTTTAATTATAGTTATATAATTATATTTATTATTTAATATGTTTTACCTTAAATATTATGTTGTAGTTGATTTGAATCATTTTGTTTCACTTGATTTTATGGTTTTTAACTTATATATGTTATGACTTGCTTTGAATATGACTCGTGATATAAAAAATTATTTTTTATTAAATATTTTTGGTATTTTTATTTAATTTTTAAATAATTATGACGTCGTCCGGTTCTTCCGACCGGTCGAACCGGTTTGACCGGTTGAACCAGTAAACTGATAGCATGACCGGTTCGCTAACCGGTCCGGTTCTGAAAACCATGGTTGACACCTAATTTTCTTGGACTCATTTGGTTCTTGAATTTGATCTTAGGTACCAAGTTGACCCTAAACACTCTTTACTAGCTAACTTAAATATAAAATAATATGTTTGAATCTCGTTCTTCTCTTTCTCTCTTTCTATATTAAAAGTATGAGCGCTTAATGAGTTGAGTAGCTCGTGAGTAGCTTAAGTTTAATTCAGTTAAAACTCGATAAAAGTTTTATTTGGATTGATTCGAGTTGTACTCGAGTTCGACTCGATAACATAACAAATTGAATCGAACAAAACCAAACTTAACTCGATAAGTTTGTGAGCAGTTCGTTAATATTTTTTTTATAATTTTTAGTGATTATCTTAAAAATATTTTATTCAAAAAATATTAATTTACTGATAGACAATAAAAATACGATAAATTATTAATCTATTAATTTTCTAATAAATAAGAAAAAAGAGACTAAATTATTAATTAATAATTATTATTTTACTGCACTAAAAAATCAAACTCTAATTATTATTTTAAATATTTATGGATTATAATTTTAGAGTTTAAACTTTAAATTTGTTTTATACTCTTTTGATAAATTTTTGTTAAAGTTATTAATTTAAGTTTATATTAAGCTCTATATAAGATTAGTAGATTTTACCTATAGTTAAAAAATAAGATAAAAATTTCAGTGAGCTTAATAAGCAACGAGTAGAGCAACAAGTTTTTTAACGTGCACAAATTAAACAAAATTTTAACGAGTTTAATGAACAACGAATCAAGTAACAAAATATTTTAACGTACACAAATCGAACACTGTTCAACTCATGATAAACTCGCTCGATTACCACCCTATTAGAAAACAACTTCGTGATTTTAAATAAATGAATGAAAACCCATTTTATTTTTAAAAGAAGTAATTTTGTTATTTTATTACTTCTAGAGAGTTTTTGACTAAGTTGGGTACTTTGACTAGCTATGCTATAAATATAGATTTTGTTAGGGTTTTCAATAGAATTAAAAAATATTAGAATAACCAGAAGAGAGAAGTGGGTAGAAGGTTCGGTTGCTAGTCTATTTCCCATCACCTTTTTTTTTTTTTAAGGTGCAAGAGATAATTGTTTGTGAATATTTTGGCATTTTTACATAAATATCATTAAAAATTTTAGGGTGAACTAAGTATGTAGTTTTGTTTAAGTCACTCAACTATTTTTTAAGATCATTTGATGTTACATTTTGATTATTCGTTGTTAAAAAATTAACAAAACTTTTGATATGCAGTTTTTTAATGATGACTTGACATTATCTTATGGTGATATGTTAGCATCATCATTAATTTTTGGGTAAATTATACCATTGACCACTCAACTATGTAGCCTTTTTACTTTTACCATCGAACTTTTAATTTTATCAATCAGACCACCTAACTATTTAGTTGTTATCAATCAAGCCACTTGCCGTTAACAGTTGACGAAAATGTTGATGTGGCAGTTAAAAAATTGGCATAATTCTATTTAGTCCTCAATATTTATACATTATATTAAATTCATTAAATTAAATTAAAATTAAGATCAAATTAATAGAATGTATAAATATTGAGGACTAAATGTAGAAATATGCCAATTTCGTTAACTGCCATGTCAGCATTTCCGTCAAATGTTAACGACAAGTGGTTTGATTGACAACAATAAAATAGTTGAGTGGTTTGATTAACAAATTAAAAAATTGGTGGTAAAAGTAAAAGGGCTATATAGTTGAGTGGTCAATGGTATAGTTTACCCTTAAGTTTTTAATGTTGGTGACCAAAATGAAACCAATATGTAACTTTATGTATGATTTTTAAAAGAAAAGCATTTGAATGATCGAAATGGTAGTACACGAATAATTGAGTGACTAAATACATTATTTATGCAACTATTAATATAAAGTAATATCCATTTAAAAGTATTTTTTGAATTACTATATATTTCAGGGTAAACAATGCATTTAGTACCTAAACTATCAATTTTGGTTTGTTTTAGTACCTAATTTTTTTTAAAAAAATCAAAATCATATTCATACCTAACGTTTAGTTTTTGTTTCATTTAGTACCACACCATTAAAAACTTAACGGACAAGCTGATGAGGCATAGCTCTGATGGACGGATGAACAATTGAATAGTGGACCACACGAGAATGATGAGTCGACCAACATAGTTCAGTTTCAGGCTTATCGGACGGTTGAAGACGGAGATCGAATGATGAAGAAGTCGAAGAATCTATCGTTGATTTAGTGAGATTGAGACATTTTCTAGTGAAATGAAAGTCAAAATCACATTCAAGGGCTTGAAAGATGTGGGCCGGAAAATTTGTGCTTCATCGGCCTATGAATGCAACGTCATACGACTATAGACGCAGTGGCCAACGAGCCCATCCGTTGAATTTTTAACGACAGGGTACTAAAATGAAACAAAAACTAAATGTTAGATATAATTTTGAAAATTTTGAAAGATTAGGTACTAAAACGGATCAAAACTGATAATTTAAGTACTAAACGCACAATTTACCTTATATTATATTATATATGACAAAGAGGTGTTATGTGGAAACGCTTTTGAGATTATATTTTTCTAAGAAGTTGCATGCCAAGACCTATAGGAGGAGTTGTTGCAGATGATAGTTGGAAAGCTTGGCAAAATGGGCAGTTAGGTCAGAACATGTTCGGAAACAAGTTTAATAATAAACATGACTTGTAAAGTGAGAAACATCTTGTAGTTGTTGCCGGCATTTATAGTGCCACTCATGCTTCTTCTTCGGTAACTCGGCACAAGCGTTATGAATAAAAAACTGGCATTGTGAACAACAGTAAAATGGATTCGATATCGGTAACATACACCCATCGCAGTTGTTTTCGTACCCTCCAACATAAGCACTTAATTGAAGATTATGCGTATGCTTGAAATGTTGAATATATGTAGTTTGTCCAGCATCGTTCCTCTCCAAAACACAAGTGACGGAACTTTCATCTGATATCTTATATGCTTCTTCACGTGAAAGTATATAATATGAACTCGCTTCCTCCGTCACACAACGAACATGGAATGTAATACTGCAATATGAGCAACAACAACTCCCATGCTCTGGACTTACCGCGTCATGACAAATAATGCAGTCTGAGCTTCCAAAATCATCAGGAAGGAAATAGTTGTGGAAGATAGCATGATCATGCCACTTGCTCTTGATGATGCTTGGCAATGAGGTACACTTTTTATGCACTATAATGTTGCATTCACAACATATATAAGCAGAGTAAGTTCCTTCAGTACCACATGCATCACAGACGAAAGGTGCTCGTCTCGGAAACAAACTGAATGGGTGTTCATGACGTTCATCTTTGATAACAGGAGCAAGATGTAACGATAAACATTCAAAATGAACAACAAACTTACGAGATGAACAAACATAAGGAAATCCTCTTCCTGGGGTTTCTTGGCATATCTTGCAAGAGAGCCCATCGCTATTAAATTGTAAAAGAAGCGGATGTTTGCGATGGCATATATGATTCAGTCTGAGAGGAAGCTCAGCACATTTCTGATGTAGATTAAATCCACAATGAGGAGAGAAGTATGTATAATTTGCTAATGGTTCCCAGCAGGCGAAGCACTCGGGAACATTTTCAAGTTGCTCATCATCTTTATTAGTGGAAATCATTGGAGGTTCGAGGGGAACATGCTCAAGCTCTTTCAAATTATTTTGAGCAATATTAAATGTAAACCAAGCACATTTAATATGAAATCCCAAATTGCAAGGGGAGCAATGATAAACGAATTTCTCACATCTTTGGCCACAGAAATAGCAAGCGTACCATGTGTATGTAGACGGTGGATTTTGCAGAAGAACAAGAGGATGTTGCTGATGGAAAGGGTGATTGAGCTCCGAAGGTGCCTCGGCGTATATCTTGTGGACGTAAAACCCACAGTCTTCGGCACAGCCAAAACATGGAGCAGACACCTTCTCCCCACATCTTCAGCAGTCAGCTGATACTCCACTTTGATTGCCGATGAGCTGCTCTTCGTTCAAGCGTACCAAAGGTGGTCATAATTGTTTGAATCCTGCATCGACCTCCTCATGACATATTATGCAATCATAAGTTCTAAAATCTTCTTCGTAGAAAATTTTGGTAAAAGAGACGATGATCATGTCACCTACTTTTAATAATGCAGGGCAATGAGACGCAGTTTTGGTGGACTATAACGCTGCATGTTCCACATGTATATGCAACACGGTTTCCCTCGGTGCCACATGCTTCACAAATTAACGGAACTCGTCTCCAAAACAAGGTAAATGGGTGTGGGTGATTTTCATCTTCGATCATGAGTGGGGGTGATGGTGATCTACAATCAATAATAAACTAATCATGTCCTTTGTGTTTCTTGGCATATCCTGTAAGGGAGTTGTTAGGGAAGTCGTCCACTTGGATTGCTCATCAGCTAGTATTGTTCCACTTGGATTGCTCATCAGCTGCTCTTCATTCAACAACACGAGTGGATGTTGGTGGCCATAATTCTTTGAAACCTCCATTTCTCCTTCTTTCCTGTGTTTGTCCCCAAATGAATAAAGCAACAGCTTGATTTTGAAAGCAAAGTTTCAATGGAAAAACAGCATCACAAGTGAAGAAAGGTAATGGTTCAGGAACTGAGAGATCATTTGAGGTTTAGAGGGAGACACTCAATTATAGTAAACAGAGGTCAACATGTCAATGCTTCAATCTTATCTTTTTTCTTTTTTAGGCTCTGCTCTGCTCCACACATTATTTCATTTTATACTAATTTTCATACTCAGTTTCTTTCATCTCATCATCGGGGGTCCGGACTTGGTCGCTATAATTATATCTATTTTATCATTCATCATTGTAGTATCTTTTACAGAGAGTAAGCTATTTATTTTGAGATGAACTCTACAATTATAAGTTATTACTTTGTTTAGTCTCCGATTATTAAAACTTACAAGATGGTTCTCTAATTATAGGATGTTGTTTTATTAAGTCTCTCGACTATTAAAAGTTATAAAATAGTCACGTGACTATTCATATGTTCCAGACTTATCATTTTCGGTTAAAAATTTGGCGGTCGTGAGCTAGACATTAACATGTTGACTTGGATATGATAGTGTTTTGAGATTCTGAAATTAGATTTTATCATATTTCAGTCAATAGGTTAATGTAGGGATATAAACGAGCCGAGTCGAGCTCGATATTGTGGAGCTCGACTCGATTAGAAAACTCTAAAATGGAGCTCGACTCAGCTCGAAAATTTACGAGTCTAAAATTTTCAATCTCGAATCGAACTCAAAATCGTGAATTGAAGCTCGGAATAACTCGAAATAAAAAAAATATTGAATTTAACTTGTTTGAAGCTCAAACTCAAATTCAAACCTGAACGTTAAGTACATGAAAACATTCTATTGTATTTTTTAAAGAAAATAAACACTAAATATTGATATTTTTAATAATTTATTTTTTAAAAATTAAAATTTAATATATAATTTTTTCGAGTTGTTCGCGAGCTTTTCGAGTTGAGTATCAAATAACTCATTTTGTAACTTTTAATAGTCGAGAGACTCAACAAAGCAACGTCATATAATTGGAGCACCATTTTCTAACTTTTAATAGTCGAGAAACTCAACGAAACATCACCGTATAGTTGAAAGATCATTTGTGTAATTTACCCTTATTTTACTATAAAAATTGCTTAATATAAATAAGTTTGTAATATTAATGATAAATTGCATATATAATCATCTAATTATGGACGAATTTTAAATCGATAAACTCAAAATTTGTGTTTCTTTATTGTTCGTGCAATACTTTTATATACCCTGGTGAAGATAGTTTTTTTCCCTAAAATCAAAAGGTGGCAGCTACTAATAGTACCATCAATTTAGACCTAATAACAACATGGTAAACTATAACATTGACCACCAAACTATGTAGTCCTTTTATTTTTGTCACCAATCTTTCTATTTTATCAATCAGATCATCTAACTATCTAAATGGTATCAATCAAGCTACTAACTGTTAACTTTAGACGAAAATGTTGACGTGGTAGTTAACAAAATTGGTGTAAATATACATTTCATCCTCAATACTTATACATTTTATCAATTTGATCCTAAAAATTTAATTCAATAAATTTAATCCACCAATTTGATGGTGAAATGTGTCACCATTAGATTAAATATTTTTCTATAATTTATATATTTATTTTCTAACTGATGGTAACACGTTTCACCAGGTTGAAAGAAAATCAAACAGCAAATAAAGGGAAAAATAACAAATGAAACGAAAGGATTTGAACCTAAAACCCTGGTATGAGATATGCACGTGCCAAACCACAACAACAAGCTCATGATTGTGATATGATTTACACAGATTTTATATATAGTTATTCATTTCAGAAAAAAATAGGAATATGTCTTTATACATTATAAAAATAAATTTTTATTTTTATTTTCACATTTATAATTGAAGAATTATATAATTTTAAATTATTTTTAATTTAATTAATGATCGATTAATTGAATGACTAATTGATAAATTTCAGAATTTAATGACTCATTTGTAATCTTATTAATAATTGAATGCATTGTGGTGTAATTTACCCATTTAATTATTGATTAACAAAAAGGTTTTATTCTTTTTCTTTTAATTTCTTCCAAGAATTTTGGCTTTATTTATATGTTATATATATATATATATGAGATGTGGAGAGTTTAAATTCCATAATGGTACTGCTATGGCTGCTGAAATGATCCCACTTGTCTTGCCATGTTTTTAGAGACAAAACAAAAGAACAAAGGATGTCCTATTCTAATCCAATATTTATAATTAACAAAGCAAAAGATATCAAAGGATTTGTTCTTTTGGGCGACAATTTGCTTGAGTGCTACTTGAACATGTATGATGTTAAAACAATCATGATTCGAATCATGAATAGAAATGAAAATGGTGTCGAACTAAAAGATATGGGCAACATTTATGTCCTGTTTCTGCATGGAATATTTTACGTAGGGTAACATTTCCGTCATGTTTATGATTTTTGATGAGTTTCTTCTTGGAGGTGAATTCAGGTTTTTCTTCGAAAGGTAACGTCCCCATCTTGATTTATGTTTTCTGCATTGGATCCACTTTAGAGATCTCAGGTTCCTTTCAGTAGGTAATGTTTTTCGTTATGTTCGTTTATGACGAGAGGTAAAGTCGTGAGGAACTTTGTATGATATTCTGATAATAAATATTTGGTTTTACTGTTATTTGACTATTTTATTATTTTTATATCTTGACTAAAATATCTGAATTATTATTTGTACTAGAGGGCACACTGAGCTTTGTAACTCACTCTGTTTGTGTTTTATTTTCATGTTATCTAGATGTATAACCGGTTTGGCTATTGGAGTAGTAGTCTTGATTTCATACCGTGCGAGGTTAATTTTTTTTTTTTTTTTGCTTGTAGCCTCTCTAAATTGTGATATGAGTTTATTCTGATCTAATATTTAGTAAATGTTTTTAAAATAATTTATTAAATAAATTTTTATCCGTAAACTATTACTGGAGTCAACGAGATTACTTTGATTCAGTTGTAACTCATAGGCCAAGTCAAAAGATTACATAAATTACTTATTCTTCTCCCAAAAATATTATAGTACTTTTTTAAACATAAAAAATAAATTGTTAGTCAATTTAATATTATAATCGATCCCTTGAATCAAGATCGAAAATTGATTATAATAATTTATTTTTTAGACATAAATAAATAAAAATCCAGATATGGCATCACTCAATTATAAACCCTAGAAAGATGCAGCCAGAATAGGGAAAAGGGAATAATTTTGCATGTGGGGGGAGAGCTGCCTCTTGAATTAATTTATCGTTTTCATATTTCAACTTTTGAATTGTCAATTGACTTAATTCCACGACAAATTATTGACAAGTGATGATAATCATGATTATGAAACTTCTTGGCAGCTAGCTTTTTCATCTACTTCACTTTTGCCATTTCTTTTTTAGGGTATTCTATGCGTTTAATATTTAAATTATCGATTTTGATTCGTTTTAGTATCTAAATGTTTTAAAAAAATTAAAATATATCTAACATTTAGTTTTTATTTCGTTTTAGTACATTCCGTTAAAAACTTAACGGAGCTATATTTTTATGGGTAAATTACATCATTCATGCCCAACTATCTTCTCACTTTTATTTTGGTACCAATGTTTAAAAATTTTCAATTTAACTACTCAACTTTCAAATTGCTCATATTTTAATCATTCTAATTTATTGTATTAATATTTTTTTTAACATGACATTTTTTTATTGTTAGTTTATTAGTATATAATTAAAAATAGATAAAAATAAATTTGAAAGTTGGAGTGATTAAATTAGGATTATTTTGAAAGTTAAGTAATTAAATTATAAAAAAATTAAACTTCAATTAAAAAAATAGGAGAGATAAGATAGTTTAGTGATGAATGATGCAATTTACACATAAAAAGGTGCCACGTGCAATTCACCCGTTAAGTTTTTAACGACGAGGTACTAAAACTAAACAAAAGCTAAACGTTATGTATAATTTTAAAAATTAAAAATTTAGATACTAAAACAAACCAAAATTGATAATTTAAGTACTAAACACGTAATTTAGGTACCAAAATTGATATTTAAATTTAGTAAAAAATGTTATTATGTTTTTATTATAATATTTGATCTAAATTAAATTATTAATAAATTAAATATCAATAATTATAAAAAAGTATTTATATTATGTTAAAAGAAATGTCGTTTTATGACTGAATTGATCGTGTAAACAGCTAATATGATGAGTGAAAGGCTGTTGCTGCAAAGCATTGGCATTGGGACGTAAATATATTCCTTTATTGTCAACAACACTCATAGTGCACATAGAACATCAAATTATCCACCAAATAGCAAATACACATGCCCACAATAAATAGAAAAACCAAAAAATTAAAAGAACAAAACACCCTCACTTTCTTCTTACACCACTACAATAAATTAAGAGCAGGTGGAACAGTGCTACCAAAGAAGTGGAAGTTATCTGTAGGCCTGAGTTATCAAAATTGTATCTCTCAAATGCAGTGCTTAGACCCTTATTCCATGGACTCGAAAAGGAACTGGTTTGGTGTCGAAAACCCCACTCCTCGGAACCTGCCTTTATTCTTTCTGTGAAACTAGAACCTGAAATTTTAACGTTGTAAATGTATTAGGATATGAAATGGTTTAAGATTAACTATTTGGTTTAATTAAAATGTTACTTACATGAACGGTGAGCTGTTGATCTTTTCAGATCTAGTAGGGGATTGGTGGTGGTGGAGAAGCGTAAATGTAGACCGGAGGTGGAGGTGATTTCACTGGTGGAGGAGGTGAGTGGTAGTAGTATGGGGGAGGGGGTGAGGGAGATGGTGGTGGGGGAGATTTGTAGTGGTATGGGAGAGGAGGAGATGGTGATGGTGGAGGAGGGGAATTGTAGTGGTATGCAGGTGCTGGGGCCTTCACTGGAGGTGGGGGTGACTTGTAGTAGTATGGTGGTGGTAAAGGAGATGGTGGTGGTAAAGGAGATGGTGGTGGTGGGGACTTGTAATGGTAAGTTGGTGCTGGAACTTCTACTGGAGGTGGGGGAGACTTGTAGTAGTATGGTGGTGGTGGAGAATAAACCGGTGGTGGGGGTGATTTGTAGTAGTATGGTGGGGGTGGTGAAGGAGATGGAGGTGGTGGGGATTTGTAGTAATATGGTGATGGAGGAAACCGCGATGGAGGTGGGGGTGATTTGTAGTAGTAAGGTGGAGGTGGAGAGTGGGCTGGTGGTGGTGGAGACTTGTAATAATATGGTGGAGGAGGAGATGACAATGGTGGTGGAGGAGATTTGTAGTAGTATGGGGGTTGCTCTTTGTGTTTTGGCGGTGGTGGTGGGGACTTGTAGTAGTATGGTGGAGGTGGAGAATGGACTGGTGGTGGAGGTGATTTGTAATAGTATGGTGGAGGAGGAGACAGTGATGGTGGTGGAGGTGATTTGTAGTAGTACGGTGGTTGCTCTTCGTGTTTTGGTGGTGATGGCGGTGGGGACTTGTAGTAGTATGGTGAAGGTGGAGAGTGTACTGGTGGTGGCGGGGATTTGTAGTAATATGGTGGAGGAGGAGATGGCGATGGTGGGGGAGGAGATTTGTAGTAGTATGGAGGTTGTTCTTCGTGTTTTGGTGGTGGAGGTGGGGACTTGTAATAGTATGGTGGTGGTGGAGAGTGGACTGGTGGTGGTGGAGATTTGTAGTAGTACGGAGGAGGTGGTGGTGACTTGTAAACATAGGTGGGGCTTGGTGGTGGTGGAGAGTTGTAGTAGTATGGTGGTTTTTCGACGTGTTTTGGTGGTGGTGGGGACTTGTAGTAGTATGGGGGATTCTCTACATGCTTCGGTGGTGGTGGAGACTTGTAGTAGTACGGGGGAGGAGGTGGTGACTTGTAAACATAGGTGGGTGTTGGTGGTGGTGGTGACTTGTAAACGTATGTGGGGCTTGGTGGTGGTGGGGACTTGTAGTAGTACGGGGGATTCTCTACATGCTTCGGTGGTGGTGGAGATTTGTAGTAGTATGGTGGTGGAGGTGGTGACTTGTAAACATAGGTAGGTGTTGGTGGTGGTGGTGACTTGTAAATGTATGTGGGGCTTGGTGGTGGTGGGGATTTGTAGTAGTACGGGGGAATCTCTACATGCTTCGGTGGTGGTGGAGATTTGTAGTAGTATGGTGGTGGAGGTGGTGACTTGTAAACATAGGTGGGCGTCGGTGGTGGTGGTGACTTGTAAACGTAAATGGGACTCGGTGGTGGTGGAGACTTGTAGTAGTACGGGGGGTTCACAACATGCTTCGGTGGTGGTGGAGACTTGTAGTAATACGGCGGAGGAGGTGGTGACTTGTAAACATAGGTGGGACTTGGTGGTGGTGAAGACTTGTATACATAAGTAGGAGCCGGTGGAGGTGGTGACTTGTAGACGTAAAGAGGTGACGGTGGCAGTGGAGATTTATAGTAGTACGGAGTCGGATGCTTCGGTTTCGGCTTCTCACATCCCTTGTATGGTTTCTTGGGAGCATAAGCAAACGGCTTAGCCTTGAGCACAACCTCGTACTTGTCCTTTGAATAGACCTTGAGCTCGGCACCCTTGTCGCCCTTGTGTAGGCTCGTGGCTATGTTGCATGGTGAACCCTTGGGTGGGGCATGGAGCTTGGCCGTGCAAGCGTCGGCTCCATATTTGGCATAGTCAAACCCAGGAACAGCAACGCTGTATTTGCCATTGATTCTGGTCTTGTCGTAGACAGTGATTTCCTTTTCTCCAGCTTTGCATGTCACTTCCACGACAGCACCTGCTCCATGTGCAATAATTGAAAAATTAATTCATTTTTTTTTGCTTAAAAGTCAATCAAAACATGCTTTTTTTATTTTTAGTCATCAACTCCAATAACTAATTTTGCTTTCCATGAAATTAATTTAAATATATTAAAAATATTTATGATTTGAATAAAATATTTATCTAAAATATTCCTCCTAGATTATTTTATATAAGCCCACATGATAATGTAGTATATGCTATCAACTAAGCTATATAAATATTACATCGACAGACAGTAAAAACAGAAATAGCTGTTTTTATATTTTATATCTATTTTATGGAACATGGTCTAGATTTGTGTATGATTAATTTTTTAATCTATACTTTAATTTATCTGTAAATAATATAGTCTGTGATCCGTTTAATTATTATGTTTGCATCAAATTGAATTAAAATATTCCAAAACATCATATCTTATCCTCTACAGCACATGACAAAGATAGTTCCATGAAAAATTGAAAGTAAAAGAATAAAATAAAAATAAGCTAATAAACATGGAAATGTAAGATGAATTAATTTAATAATGCATTAAATTAAGTTTGAATTGTACCTTTGAGATGTTTCTTGTTGTGTGACTTCACTGGATAGGTCCAGTCATAGCATCTGTAGCAGTAAACTTTTCCGATCACCTTGACAATGAGGGGATGGGGGTGCGGGTGGGGGTGAGGTTGAGGGTGTGGGTAATAAGGAGTTGGTGGTGGTGGAGAATTGTAGTAATAAGGAGGAGATTTCACCGGTGGTGGTGGAGACTTGTAGTAGTATGGAGGTTGCTCTTCGTGCTTTGGTGGCGGTGGTGGAGACTTGTATACATATGGAGGTGGTGGCGATGGTGAAGGCGGTGGTGGAGACTTGTAATAGTATGGGGGCTGCTCCTCGTGTTTCGGTGGTGGTGGTGGAGACTTGTAGACATATGGAGGTGATGGGGATGGTGAAGGTGGTGGTGGAGATTTGTAGTAGTATGGGGGCTGCTCCTCATGTTTCGGTGGAGGAGGAGGGGACTTGTAGACGTATGGAGGTGGTGGGGATGGTGAAGGTGGTGGAGGAGACTGTAGTAATATGGAGGCTGCTCTTCATGTTTCGGTGGTGGTGGTGGAGATTTATAGATATATGGAGGTGGTGGGGATGGTGAAGGTGGTGGTGGGGACTTGTAGTAATACGGGGGCTGTTCCTCGTGTTTAGGTGGTGGTGGTGGAGACTTGTAGACGTATGGAGGTGGTGGGGATGGTGAAGGTGGTGGAGGAGACTTGTAGTAGTATGGAGGCTGCTCTACATGTTTCGGTGGTGGTGGTGGAGATTTATAGACGTATGGAGGTGGCGGGGATGGTGAAGGTGGTGGTGGGGACTTGTAGTAGTACGGAGGCTGCTCCTCGTGTTTAGGTGGTGGTGGTGGAGACTTATAGACGTATGGAGGTGGCGGGGATGGTGAAGGTGGTGGAGGAGACTTGTAGTAGTAGGGGGGCTGCTCCTCGTGTTTAGGTGGTGGTGGCGGAGATTTATAGACGTATGGAGGTGGTGGGATGGTGAAGGTGGTGGTGGAGACTTGTAGTAGTATGGGGGTTGCTCCTTGTGTTTCGGTGGAGGTGGTGGAGATTTGTAGACGTATGGAGGTGGAGGAGAAGGTGATGGTGGTGGTGGAGATTTATAATAGTACGGTTTCTCCTCGTGCTTTGGTGGTGGAGGAGACTTGTACTCGTAAGGAGGTGGGGGAGAAGGTGATGGTGGTGGTGGGGACTTATAATAATATGGCTTCTCTTCGTGTTTTGGTGGTGGTGGAGGGGACTTGTACTCATAAGGAGGTGGTGGAGAAGGCGATGGTGGTGGTGGTGGTGGAGATTTATACACATAAGGCGGCGGTGGAGAAGGAGAAGGTGGTGATGGTGATTTGTACTCATAAGGAGGAGGAGGCGAAGAATAAATATAAGGATCAGCAGACGCTGAACCTACATTACTAGCAAAAACAACAATGGCAACAGCCATTAGCATTTGGGGCCAAAATCGGCCCCTCGCCGGGTTGTCCCCCCGAACCATCATAGATGACGACCAAAGAGCACCACCGCCAGCCAATGTACCAAGATTTTCTCGTAGTTTACCTGTTTGGAAGAAAAGAAAAAGGGGGAAGAAGGAATTTCGTTTCGGTGGTGTCTACTGAGTTGAGAAGATTGCATGAAATGAAGACTATATATAATGGAAAAATTAGTCGTTGATGGTGTGATGTTTCACAAGGGATAAATTCAATTAATTTCAATTATATTAATATATTATTATATAAATATGAAATAATATAGTGATAAATATGTACGATATTTTTGATATTTTTCTTAAAAAATAAAAATTTCCGTTCATTTATTTTAATTTCATGAAACAATTTTAGAAGAAAACAAAAGAAGAGGTGGCTTCTGGTTGTGCTTTTTTATTTGGGTAAAGTGAAGTTTTCACCATTTAATTTTCATAATTTATTTGGGTCCCATCATTTCCCAATTTTTGAATTATTATATTTTTATCACTCGAGCGTTAAATAGAAAATAACATGATGATTTAATATTTATTTGTTAACACGAGTTGCGTTTTGCCGACGTGTAATTCATCTCATTTTTTCTATTTATTGTCTTCCCAATAACTTAAAATTATTAGAGTTTCATCGACATCTCATGTTGTCATGGATACCATCCTTCATTCATTCTGTAACGTCTTCTCCGACTACTTCAAACATCAACAAACTCATCTCATTGTTTTTTTATCATTCTATTAGTTTATATTTTCTCAATGTATCTTTAAAATTCGTAAAACTTTAACTCAAAATCTAAAGGAAAATGATTTCAATTTAAAATTCTCATCATTTGATATACGTCGAAAAAACAAATGAAATCGAAAACCTAGGTTAAAAAATTATAAAGGAAGATTTTAATGGTATTTTAATAAATTTCAAAGAAAGTTTTGGATTTTTTTTGTAATTTTTATAAGATAGATGTTCTACCATAACACCATTAAATAACTAATCCTGAAGTGATAAAAATATAGTATCACAATTGAGTGATCAAATTGAAACTATTTAAAATTTAGTTACTAAAACAAGAATATGGTCATATCAACTCTTTCTTCATCCAACGGCTAATTCTATCTTCGCTAGGAGCAGACATGAATAATAAAATAAATTACTTAGATTTTGTTTGATTCATAAATTTATTTAATTACTTAATATAATTCTAAAATATACAATTTAATTTTAATAAAAACATATTTTATTAATTAAATATAAATATAAAGTCAAATTGAAATATAAAATTATTTAAATCCAAACCATAACCTAACGACTACTACTAATGTTCCCTTCCCAGTCTTCAACGTGTAATGCTAAAAATTATTAACATTTATTTATGTATTTGTATAGTTAATTATATATTTTTATCTAATGTGATTATATTTTTTAAAAAGTATATTACGAAAATTATTGTTTATGCCAGTTGTTATGCTATTATCTATCAATTTTTTGACTGGATTTTCTATTTTTTTAAAATGCACGTCCAACCCACCTTCAATTCATTAATGGGTAGATTTAAAAAAAATCAATTAATATATATATATATATATTATTGATAATTAATCTGAATCAATATTATAAAAGTGAATTCGTTAAGCCACCTTAATCGTAAAAAGTGAGTGTTATTTATTATAGAAATTTTGAGTTCAAACAGTTGCGTCTGCAGAATGTGTATACATTATCAATAATTTAAAAAATTTGTTATCTTATAATCACCTCAAAATATTAAGAAGAGTATTACGAAAATTTATATTGAGAAAGACACATTTAACCTTGTTAATTTCATTCACAACGTCAATATTTAACAATTTAACTTTGTTAAAGGTCATTTAATATCTCATCTTATTAGATCAATTGATTATCAGTAAATTATTTTATTTTTTTAATTGACAAAGAGACATCATAGTTCCCTGTACTATTGAAAAACAATTAATGTGACATTCGTATTATTTTTTCTCTCAATGTGTCACTCCAAATAAATTCAACGTGGCCCATTTGACCAATGTTTTTCGTTTTTGACCGTTACGGTGCTGGCATGACAGTTCACGGTGCTAACATGGCGATCCACAGTGTTGACGTGACAGTACATTTGCCATGTTTGAGTAATCAATTTAACTCATCTGTCATGTCATCTACCACATTATCAACCACCGCGAATCTCCACGTCAGTACAATGGACTACCAAATCAACACCGTAATGGTTAACAACGAAAAATATTGGTTAAAGGGCCACATTGCGTTTATTTTCTGAGTTAGAGGGTCACATTAAAAAAAATATGATGACCATACTAATTTTATGAAAAGTACATGGATCTCTCATACATTTTTATCTTTTTAATTTGATTTTTAGTATATTACATTTAAAAAAAAAAAATCCATGTGATTTCTCAATTATGATGGGGCAGTGGCATGTGAGATTGCATCAAGTTGACACCACAGCTTTTGGTGGAGATTTTAATTACAATAAACAAAAATAAAATAAATGAATTGAATTGAATTCCTTTTTTTTATAATAAAAATATCATATGTTTTAATAGTTGGATGATTATAATACACACGTACCATAACTTTCGTGGTAAAGAAATTGTTGTTATTCTTTGAGGACTCGAGTTTGAGCACCATAGATGTCAGGGATGCGAGCATTTAATGTCAAAAGGTTGAGAGTTTATATTTGAACATATACTACTGCCTTGTACTTACTACAAATTAATAAAAAATATATATATATTATAATACTATCTTGAACATCATACAAACGTAGTTATTCAAACTCGAATCATTTAAGAAAAATAATATTTTTATTACTACGATCATTTGATGTCTTCTAATAAAATATTATTTTATGATATTACTATTATTAAAAATCTTGTTATTCGATAATAAATGCATTTTGTAATATTATAGTTTCAATAAATTGTAAAAACAACTTTTTAATAAATGTTATTTATATTAATAATATTTATAAATAAAATCAAAACATAACATTATTTATGATTTTTAAACAAAAATAATTAAGTAATCAATAAATAATAAAAATAATAGTTGAAATACTAAACTTATAGTTTATCCTATTTTTTTTATTAATAACCCTATTAAGGAGGGAGACGAACATATACAATTTTAGAGAAGAAGTTATAAAATTTTAGAAATCGAAAATAGATTATCAATAGAAATTACATAAAAAATCTAAAATTAAAATTTTTAAATGGACGACTATCTACTCGCGTTCATCGGTCCATCTCTATTGTTGACTAATTATTGTAATATCTTTTATGCAAATATTTTCAAACATCAAGTAGATCCAATCTTCAATAGTTTGAAGATATTTTTTATTGCTAATGATTTTAAAATAATCACCATTAATGTCGGTAATTAAACAAGGAAGACTGAAAGACTAAACGAATCTCTTTCACGTTGCTCATTGCAATTAATTAAATCAACACATTTAAAGAAGTGACCGAAAAATATCAATAGAAGAGACAAATTACTGTAGTTCTAGCGACGCTTAACTATCTTATTACCGACGACAGTGACAGATATGTCACTGTAAAAAGTTATTATGGTTAACCATGTAGGTCTAGATCAAATTTCTAGTTAAATAGTACGTTTTTTAATAATTAGAAAAGAATTAGAAAAATTGTATGTTAAATTAATTTTCTTAATGTTAATTAAAACTGGAAAATTTTATATTTTTTAAAAATAAATAAAATAAATTTTACCGGGTCTCTTTCAATTAAAAATATTATATATTTAAGAAATAAAAGATATTTTGACCATAATAAATTTATAGTTCTATCCCTGATCACGTAACACATGAAAGTTATAATATTATAATGGGATGAGTATCGATTCAAGCCTCTACTCATGCAAATTATGAGTCGATACTCATCTTATTTTATATAAGTTTATCTGAATTTATTTTATTGTAAGTTTAGATTTATTTATTTTATTTTTTAAATTTGATTGTGTATTGTATTGTTTTATAATATGATTGGATGTATTATTTGTAAATATATTTTTTCTTAGTTTACGAATTTCCCAAGAAACATAATCTTAATGAAAAATAAGTAAACAATGTGAAGCGATGAAGCGAAGGGAAAGATTGAATGAAAGACAAAATCTTAATAGAATACAAATGTCATTATGGCATGCATGTGACAAATTGTGGGATCAATATTAATTGATTTGTCGAAAATTATTATCAGTGATATTATTTTAATTAAACTAAAATACATTATACACTTAAATATGTTCAGCTACACGCAATGATAGATATAAAATTGGCAAAAAGACATTAGAAGTCCTTATACTTTTGGGGGGGAAATCAATGTAGCCCTCGTACTATTTTTTCTCTCAACGTGGCCCTCTAACTCATAAAATAAACCTAATGTTGTTACTGTTATGGTGTTGATGTAGCAGTTCAGGGCACTGATATGTTGTTCAGGGTGGCAGATTAACTTGACAAATGACATAAAAATGAGTTAAATTGGTAAGCCAAATATGACAAATGGACTGTCACGTCAGCATCATGGACCGCAATGTCAGCACCGTGAACTGGCAAGCCCAATATTGTAACGGTTAACAAAAAAACATTGGTCAAAAGGCCACATTGAGTTTGTTTTATGAGTAGGAGGATCATATTGAGAGAAAAAATAATAGGAGGGTCACATTATTTTTTTCCAAAATACAGAGACCTTTGATACATTTTTGTCTTTAAGATTTTATATTAGAGATGTAAACTTTTAGAATATTATATTAAAACTTTAAGAAATACAAAATCACAAAATTTTAAAAGATACGAAATTATATTATTAATTTAAAATATTAAAATTATATAAAATTTTATAAATTTTGTGACCATTCCCATCTATTTTGAAGAATATATTAGAGTTGAGTAACGTGTAAACTACTAATTTAATGATAAATTGGAAGTGGTCCTTTGGTGACTTCAACATGAATAGTTACTAAATTTAAAAATAATATTTCCTTTTGTTTTGCCCCTTAGTTACTCTATGATTCCCACATTATAAGGATTGAAAATGACATTTCCCCAACCATCCCTTTCTTTTTTTCATATATAGTATTTAGATTTC